TTTGTGCTTCAAAAAACAATTTCTCCAAACAGCTCAAAGTTTTTAGTACATATTAATACAATTATTTTCCCCTACAGATTAATGGGTCATCTATTATTAATAGTACATGTACATTAAACATGCACATTTACTGATCATACATGTACATTAATACACAACACTTATGAACACAAGTTTTCTTTTTGAACAAATATGCTTTTTTTTATCATAATAGACAATAATATTTGCATTTATAAAAATGTCAAAAATAGTTAATGAAAATATAATCTTTTAAAACACTGCATATCTTTCCGTGCTGAATTTGTTATTTTGCCAAAATAAAATACTTTCTACCCTGTTTCTGGTATTGTTATTTTTCTTCAAGTCTTCAATATACATCTGATAAATTTCATGATAAAACAGAACATCTATCTTTGATATATCAGTTCCATGAACGTAGCTTCTAACCAAACTTTAAAAACTGATATAAAATTATTGCTCTTTATGCTGCTCATAGCTTACATGTCTTTTTTAGCATCTCTGTCACCAGTAAACGATGCTGTAAATTAAATGCACTATTTAAGCTAAGCTATCACTTGGGCCGATTTGACTCAATGCCAGGACAAGAATATCCCGCTTTTCCTTAAAGAATCTTAATTCACGTCCAGCAAGCCTCGCACTTTCAAGTTCTCTCTCCGCAATTTCTAATTCCCGCTCGATAATTGACTGACTCTCCTGCTCTCGAGCGATCCAGTCGAGCGCCATCTGTGAACGCATGTCGTCATCCAAGGCACGATGTGAATAATGTGACAACACTTCCTGCCGGGAACAGTTTCTCTCGCGCATAGCTTTCAAGCTGCCATTCCAATGTAACAGCTGAAACACGGTCATAAGTTCTTGAAATTCCAACATTGTTCGTGTCTTGTTGGATTCCAACATGAAGCGAAATGCACCAATCCCTGTGTTAGGGTTGTCTGCCTCAGCCATGTTGCCCTGAATTTCAAAATCACATACATTATAATTCATTCGAACATTTAAGTAACAAAATACAATTCTTAATTACAAATCTAAGTGTTTAATCATATATTTTTTTATCAACAAATAAATAAATAAAAAATTTTTACTGCATACATGACTGTAAGAACTTGAAATATATTTTTTCCTGTTGTATCTATACAAAGTACATGTCAATAAGTACATGATCTACATAGAATATTGTTTTAAACTATTATGAACATTTCTACATATATAACTAAATTGCCTAAACTTTCACTTTCCATAAATATGGAAATTCTAACAATACGAGGGTTGTCCCAAAAGTCCGTGACAAATTTTATAGCCGGTTCATTTTTAACGCCAATAGAAAATAATTCACACATATAACCGTTAAGTTTATTATTTAACATTACAACAAATCATTTAAAAAAAATTTACCCTAGTTACTTAGAAATTTTCAGTATTAACGACATTGGGTTGAGTTACCGGCGCACGTCAAATAATTTACATTTTGTTATGAATAGGCTGAAATTAATTACGTATATTTCAAATATCTGATCATGTGTCTGCACAATGTCACGTTGACTTCCTCTGCTGCTATGTTTAAATCATCTCTGAAAATTTTAGTTAAATAACTTAAAAAACGCAAAAGATACGAATAAATGAAAATATCTCATATAAAATAGGAAAGTTAAAATGGCGACGTTCGAAGAATTTGCGGCGCAGTGAACATGTCACTCAGGTTTTATGACTATTTCAAGATGACACATGTACGATTTTCAACAAATATACCAAATATAACAGTTTAGGAACATATTCTGAGCATTTGTGTACAAAAGGCATGAACGGAACCAGAGTTTTGCGCTGCAAAAAGCGAAAATAAGGAAAACACGGATAGGAAGACCGATCTTCGTCGGCTATTTCCTACAGCTAAAAAAAGGAGTAACGAGACCGGAAGTCCGCGTATAGCAAAAATTAATGTATGCCATCCAAGCATTCAACAGACATTAACAACCACATGATTTAAGTCAGAAATTGACGACTTATAGGTACCATTATTGCGTTGAAAGCCAAATGGAGAGTATTTGAGAAAGGCGCCGTATATAGATTTAACGCCGTCTTTGACGTTGGACGTGCGCCGCGATTCAGTTAGTTGCCATGGTGTTTATGGCATATTTTTGTTGTTAATTGATATTTATCTATAAAAATTTGTGAAAATCTTTAAATTATATGGGTTTATAATATATTAAAATATCAAATTTGTACTTGTTTTATTTAGCTTTTAAACAATCTTGTCACAGAATATTGAGACAACCCACGTATTCACCCCTAAATATGTAAAGTTTACCTACCATATTAACCTAAAATATGCAAGTTTTTTACCATACTTACCTATACAAGAGGGCCATGATGGCCTGAGATTGCTCACCCAAGACTGATTGCTAGAAAGGTCATAAATCTTTGATTCAGAAATAAGTCATTGGGTAACATTTTTCACCCAAGGTACATGACTTATATTACTTTTGTACACTTAGCAGTTGTAGTGGTTGGCAAGGCAAAGCTGCATACCAAATATTTGAGTTCTATGACATGTAGTTTGCTACAAGAAGATTTAAAACTTTAAGTGTTTTCCTATAAAAGTCTACAGTAAGTTCATGTACAATAAGTGACCCAAGGGCAGGGCCATTTCTTACCCTAGCGGCAAGATTTCAATATGTAAGCTTTGTACCATGTCAACTTAAATGTGTAAGCTTTGTACCATGATAACTACAATGTGTTAGCTTTGTACCATGTCAACTTAAATGTGTAAGCTTTGTACCCTTTTAACTTAAATGTGTAAGCTTTGTACCATTTTAACTTAAATGTGTAAGCTTTGTACCATGTCAACTTAAATGTGTAAGCTCTGTATCATGTCAACTTAAATGTGTAAGCTCTGTACCATGTCAACTTAAATGTGTAAGCTTTGTACCATGTATACTTAAATGTGTAAGCTTTTTATCATGTTACCTTAGATGTGTTAGCTTTGTACCATGTCAACTTAAATGTGTAAGCTTTGTACCATGTTAAATGTGTAAGCTTGTACCATATCAAATGTGTAAGCTTTGTGCCATGTAAACTTAAATGTCTAAGCTTTGTACCATGTTAACTTAAATGTGTAAGCTTTGTAACCATGTTAACTTAAATATGTAAGCCTTTTACCATGTTAACTTAAATGTGTAAGCTTTTTACCATGCTAACTTTAATATGTAAGCTTTTTACCATGTAAACTTAGTGTGTAAGCTTTTTAACATGTTAAATGTGTGTGAATTTACTAAGCTAATCTTAACATATTATGCAACCTTAAACTTAATGTACCTTAAATGTTTGTAACCTTTTTACCATACTTACCATAAATGTGTGTGCTATTACCATATTTAACTTAAATGTGTGCCAGGTTACCATATTTACTATATAAATGTAAGCATTTCCATGATTGTACAAATGTATTATTACCTTGAAGGAAGCACAAGCATCTGTCACAGCTCTCTCGATAAACTCGTCAGAAATTTTCCTTGATGGATGTTCATTAAACACAGAATTCATTAAGGCTATTTTAGCTGCACTACGTCTTGCCTCAGCCTTTGTTGGACAGTGCTAAAATAAAGAAGACAGATTGACAACAAATTAAAAGTGATTTTATAAGTCATTCAAATTGTGATAATCATTATGTATATTCCCGAGGTAAAAATTGCTACTTCAATCATGATAAATAACATCATTACTTTAAGTAAAAAGCTCTTGTAACTACCTTAAATTTAAATATTAAAGGCATTGATATGATTTTATACCCTGAATGAAGCCAGATGGAGACTATTTGATATGCATTTGATATTTTGGACTATATATTATTGGGTACGATATGAATTTGATATGGATTTTTTGGACTCTGGAAGTGGAAACAAAGCTTAATTGATCAGACTGGATTAGACAAATTAAATGAGTTCTACTGAAACATCACAAGGTTCTAACGCTTAATGTTAATTGGCTATATTTTATAAGGCGTGATAGAAATGAATATATGTATATGGTATAATTCAATCATACATAGAGATATGGTTGAAAGAATATATAGATGTACAGTATTATCTTAGAGATAGAGATAAATATAAAAATTATATAATATATACATTATAATTAAAGAGATGATATAAAAATATATACATGGTACAATTATAGAGATAGACATAATACAAAAATATAAATGTTATACAATCATAAATTTATAGAAACAGAGATGATAAAAGAATATATACGGTAATTAGATTAATAATAAGAAAAAATGCAATATTTCTCCGAGGTGACATGAAGTATTAAAGTATCGACAGAGTTGTATAATTAATTATCGTCTGTCACATATAAAGTTTTATATTTGCATAAAACATTTAATCAGAAGATACATTCATCACTATTTCAACACTCGATAGTTAAGACATTTAAAGGAAGTATTTAAACATTAAAAAACAAGATTGCATTTGAGAAAAATGCTATGCCACCGCATGGTTCAAATTTCATAGCTGTACATCAAAGGACAAGAAAGTAGGTCACATCATCAAAATCTAGGTCACCTGATATCAAAGTTCAATTTTACAACTAAAACTGTGCACGTGGTCAAAATGTCATTGCTGTACATCAAAGGACAAGAAAGTAGGTCACTGTCCCCTTGGGCAAGGCATAATTTTGACCCAAGGGTTTAATTCAAAACAATTTTGATACAGGTCCACCAAATAACATTTCAAGTCAAATATCTAAGCTATAGCTTTCTCCCATTCAGAAAACATTTGTTTTATTTTCTGTTTTTACTATGTGTACATAATGAGAATCACTGCCCCCGGGCAGGGCCAATTTTGACACCAGGGGAAAATTTTGAACAACTTTGGTAGAGGACCTATAAATGATATTATATATCAAACATCAAAGCTCTATGCCTTGTACTTTCAGACAAAAATATTTTTCATTTTTTCACTATATGTACATAATGAAAATCAATGACCCCCAGGGGTGGGGCCAATTTTGACCCCAGGGCTATAATTTGAACAATCTTGCAAGAGGTTCACTACACAATGTTTCATGCAAAATATCTTAACTCTAGCCTTTGTAAATTTAGAGAAGATGATTTTTTAAGTTTTTACTATATACATATAAGGAAAACCTATGGCCACCGGGGGCGGAGCTAATTTTGACACAAGAGGCAAAATTTGAATAACTTTTGTAGAGTACCTTTAGATGATATTATTTAACAAATATTAAAGCTCTAAGCCTTGTACCTTCAGACAATAAGATTTATTTATTTTTTACTATATGTATATATTGAAATCAATGACCCCAAGGGTGGGGGCAATTTTGACCCCAGGGCTATAATTTGAACAATCTTGCTAGAGGTTTACTACACAATGTTTCAAGCAAAATATCTAACCTCTAGCATTTGTCAATTGCTAGAAGAATTTTTTTTGAAGTTTTTACTATAAGTTTTTACTATATACATATAAGGAAAACCAATGACCTCCGGGCGGGGCCGATTTTGACCCCAGGGCTATGATTTGAACAATCTGGGTAGAGGTTTACCAGACAATGTTAATGCAAAATATATAAGCTCTAGGCCTTTACAAGAAGGTGTTTTAAGTTTTTACTATATGTACATATAGTGAAAATCAATGACCCCGGGGCGGGGCCGATTTTGACCCAAGGGCTATAATTTGAACAATCTTGGTAAGGGTCTACCAGACGATGCCTTATGCAAAATATCTAAGCTCTAGGCCTTTTGGGTTTTTACAAGAAGATTTTTTAAATTTATTCTTATAATTCCTTTTGGTTGCCATGGCAACCAGATTTCTGCATGGAATGAAATTCTTTGAACAACTTTGGAAGCCCTTCACCCAAGGAACAATCCTGCCAAGTTTGGTTGAAATTGGACTAGTGGTTCTTCACAAGAAGATTTTTTAAGTTCACTATATAATCTATATAACACACACACAAACACACACACAAACACACAGGTGAATCGCTATATGCCACCGCATCGCAGATGCTGCGGTGGCATAAAAACACGCCAGTCTGTACATAAGATTGATGTATGCGTATGCACCATTATATAGAAATGCAGTCTGAATTGTAATGTATTTTCTTTTTCCCTCTTGAATATTTTGATTTACATTTCTACAATAATGTATAGCCATTATGTTGATACCTTAGAGGTTTTCCTCATTTAATATACAAGATACCTTAGGATAAGAACAGCTCATGTATTTATATAAAGTTTAGGCTTATTATGCACCAGTCGAAAGTGAGCCTTTTAATTTCTATATGCCATTTTGTTTTGGTCACATAAAATAGCAGGAGATGTGAAAGGTACATTAAGTAGGGGGACTTTGACTTCTGGATTTCTAAAACCGCCATTAAAGGTCCCACCCTGCAACAATTTAGTGGGGAGACTCTTGTTGCAGGGTGGAACCTTTATCGTTTTTTTTAGAAATAGAGAAGTCAAAGTCCCCACTATTCCTTTTGTGGCGGATGGGGGAGAGGGGATGATCTGTTACTCATGCCAACAGTATTAATGTTGTTAACAAATCTCTCTACATCTGTAAATTTTATAACAGTACAATTATCTGTCTTTCCTTCCTAGGTTACAATCTTCCAACATATTCACTAAATCATTCAAAGCAAGTTGATGTTGGAGGGCAGGAGAATCAACGATCAATCTAACAAAAGTACAGACTACTATTGTCTCTAAACTGATGTCATATTAGCAAATCTTTTTAGAGTAAATTAACCCTCACCACATTAAATGTCTTCAATGGACTTGTCCATCTTTCAATATGGATTATACCACTTATCCTTTTTAGGGGAAACTTCAAAATATGTATTAATGACTGAATTGTGAACAGTGCAAACCATGAGTACAGATGTACTGGCTCGGATCTAGGTCTGCACTTGTGGTAGGGATAAAATCTGTTGACACCAGCAGGCAGGCATAAAGGGTTAATTATATCACCCATTGTGTTAACAAAATATTCTTTTGTAAGATTTCTTTTTTTAATTGCCCCTTTCTATTCAATAACAGTCCTTCATATGTGATGTCAGAATATACTTAACAGCCATTTAGAAATTTTTTTCAAAAACATTTTCTTTTTCATTCGGTTAAAATTTCCTCTAAATAAATGAAATTCCAGTACGTTCGTCTTCTAACGATCAAAATTAGAATGAATTATAATGATTGTATGGTATGAATTATCCAGTATTTAAGAAAATATTCCTTTCAAATATTTCTATTCAATTTTTTCATTTATGGATTCCCCTAATCAACAGCTTTAATCAATTTTCCACGGACATTTAAATTCCAGAGATTAAAATTAGTGACAAGCTAAAGCTTTATTTTTCAGGTGACATTCAAAAATAAAATCATCTCTATTCAACAGTATGGTACAAAAATATTTTGAAAAACATGAAAAGATTATCATTAAATAGATAAAAAGAAGTGCAAACCAAGCCGGGATTATAATGTCGTGGAATTTGAGGGACGGAAATGCAATCCGACTTATTTATAAATCTCTTGTATTATCAACAATATATCTAAAATTTAAAGGAAAAATTTTAAAGATCTCAATTTATGGGACAACAATTGGTTTCACCGTCCATCTTTCTTTTACATAGGTTTTCAGTTGCATAAATTTTTTGAACTTTAACAATAATGACTTGCACCATTTAAAACACAAAATTTGTCACCATAGTGCAATAAATGGTTATTTCCTATTAAATTCAGAAGGACTTAACCTGTTACTGCACTTATATCAGGTGACAAAATATTCGGTTGGACACACTCTATACAAGTATTAACTGGCTACTTTAAGTTGATATATGAAACTGACCCTTAAATTAACAATGGACTGTTAAAAGTTCACAGCATAATTATAAGGTCATATGAAAAATGAAGCAATAGGAAACTGTTATGGTCATCCTCGGTAACCCATGCGTTCTCATTAGGTATACACTTAATTAGCATGTGATGAATGTAGTTAAGCAAAATCAGTACCATGTTGGTTCCAAAGATGGTTATGGTAAATTTTTGTGATGCCAAGATTAAGTTTCTGATTTATTTTAGGTCTTCGAATGCTAAATGTGTGCATCTCCTACAGAACAATTAAAAAACTCCTAAAACAAAAGAATCCTCATCAATAATGCAGAAGTTACATCATCATTTCCTATACAATGCTTCAACATTCAATACCTGAAATCATCACATTTTACATGCTCATCAACCATAACAATATAAACCAATGTAAATTTTAAGTATATATGTTGTATACATCTACCTGACCAAAACATTTATTTAGTCAAATTTCACACATACTTGACATAGCCTTAGGATATTGGAAAGTACATTTTGCAATTTATTTGTGTATTAACAGCAAAGTCAAATGATCATAGGTGAAATGAATTAACTGGAGAACACACACACACACAGTTTTCAATTATAAGTATGCTTTAATGATATAATTTATCAATAAATACATGTATATACCCCTGTGACCCCCTCCCCACCTCCCACTCATCATGGTGTTCTGTAGGAATATAAATTACAGATTGAGTGTCAAAAACAAACATGAATGTGTGTCAAAAACAAACATTTTTTGAAGAAAAAAAAAAAACTTTTCATGAATTGTCATTTTTCAACATTCAGGACAATATCTTTTCGGTTCAAATTATAGATTTAGTCAACAGTACCTGTTTTTATCTATGCCCAGCACGACTGCCAAACTAATCAAAGTTTTATTGACAAAGTTTATTTACATTACATATTATCACCTTAATGATCCGCCTTACACTTATTCAAGTTCTTACAATATTTGTCAAAAGAAGTAACGTTTCAACATTTATTCAAGCGACAATACTGGAATTCAAATCCTCTCTCAATACATAAAAAGACTTATTTAACATAAGCCGCCAATTGGAGTGCAAAAGTGTAAAAGGTAATAAAAGAAAATAGCCGTCTCAAATACTTGTGGTTTAATGTTTAAAATGGGACATTTCCTTGCATAATGATGAACCATCAAATAGTTACTCTTTCGACATGAAAATGACATAAATTATGTCAACAGTGTCATAAAATAAAACAGAAAAAGTAAAGTTAAAATTTATTTTGATATAATTTATATTTGAACTAAGACTTTATTTAAGCTTCTTTAGGATATCTGTGTGAAGCGAAGTTTCTTGTAATAGAATAGAACTGTCAAAAGGCAGGGTTTTCATTTTTATATGAGGCAACAGATGTGCCAACAAAGACAACTGATTTGGCCATTGTCAAGAGGGATATTTTAATCTACAGGCTAAAAATACAATTGAATTTTAACAGCATTTCAACCAATGATATGTAATGCCAATATGTTCATAATGAAAACCCTGAGGGTTTGAATCTGTCCTGCAGCATTACCAACTAAGCTACCCAGCCATGTTTTCTCCCAAATAAATAAACACTTCTATAGATATCATCACAGAGTCCTATAGAAAACCTGTCACTGGTCCATTAATATTATTATTGTACTAAATCATACAAATATATGCAATTGGTGTTACTCAACAGGTTGAACTGTTATTTACAACTTAAGATTAAAACATTCCTATCTTTAACAAATTCTTTAACACTATTCCTATCTATACACATGTACCAAGAAATTTGGCAATCATAGAATTGAAATGCAATTACAGTACATGTATATATCAGAACCTCAACAGTCTACTGTATTGATTTAAGCCATTCTTGCCAAGTTTTTGAAACTAGATCTATTTTTGTTTTCCAGTATAGACTTCTAATACAATTTTCCCTTGATATGCAAATCTTAGTAGAATTCATGATAATTAATACCTGCAAAAAATATATCAAAATGCGTTCCCAAACTGCACAGATTAATAAATTTAAAGTCATGTTAAAGGGTCTGTCACTGCAAAATCTTCCCCTCACCTTCCAAAATAGTTACTTTTATTCAAGTATGGTGCTGTCCTTTGATATTGCAAAAAGAACCGAAAAAAATTTCATCACTATTTAGCTACCTGAAAACTTCCAAAACAGCTTCCACCAGGCAGAGATACAAAACATACATATGGCGGGGCGTTAGACGGCTGGGATTCGTACACGACAAGAGCCCCATTCTTCAGGTCTGCACCTCGATCCTGTTTCATCTGCCAGAACTCCTGCAGTGCCTCCACTACATTAACTGTAAACAACAAAAAAACAATGCAACACACCTAATCATTCGTTTTTTACATACAGTCGAATCTCGTTATCTCGAAGTCATCGGGACCATCCAAAAAATATCGAGATAACGAAATGTCGAGATAAACGTATAAGGTTTGGCCAAGGCAGTAACTGATTTTTACAAAGTCATACCTAAAGTCAAATAAATTAAAAGTATGATAGCTCCATGTCTTGTTTTCTTGAGACTAATATCCCAAAGTCGATATTTAACAAAGTTAAATTAGCGGATGTTTACAAGCGGAACTAGTAGTCGGGAGTCTGTGATAAAAACAGATAGTGAGGTTTATTCAGTAATACAACGTTTTCAGCGTGGTCGATCAAGATATTTTTTTCGATGTTGTACAACAATATTGCAACGATAATGTTTCTACACTGAACACTTTTTCATTTACATCTAAAGTCACAATGAATTGAATACAGTGTTCAAATATTTAAAAATCGCGGAAGATTCACTCATTTTGGACATAAGTCAATCAATACCTTTAAATTAGATAAACTTTTATAAACAAAGCTCGACTTGTAACAACAAAGCTCGACTTGTAACAAACATAGTCATCATTACCCAAACCAAAATGCATGCCTGCGACAAGCTTGCCGCAAGCTTGTCGCAAGCTTGCTGCAAGCTTACAGCTGAAATACAAGGTTGCTGCATGCTTGCAACAAGCTTGCGCAAGCTTGCGATGACTTTTGAAATATATTGCAAGCTTGTTTAAAATTCATGCAAGCTTGCAAACATTTGATGTAAGCTTGCAATGCCGCAAGCTTGCAATTAGTAGACACTTAGAAATTTTTTGTACAAATCTACACTTAGAAATTTCTTGTTAAAGTATAATGGAAACACTTAGAAAATTTTTGTCAAAAGTGTACACATTAAAAAAAAAAAATTCCAAAAATGATAGTATCAGTGATAATTAACTAGTTTAAACTAGATTACCACGCTAAAGTTAAGTATTATTAGTTATTAGTTATTTTATATATTCAGCTCAGTATTGTAAATTTACGAAGAAAATATAAAATCATCATTTATTTTAATGCAAGTTACTGTAAATGATTTGAAATTTGACACTTTATACATTTCATGTAGTTGGAAAAGGGTATCTCAGAAAAAATGTCTGTGCAAAAGAAGTAAATGAATTGATTGTTAAATACATATTATTATTTCAATAAATCTACATGAAGTTATGTACAATGAAATAATATCCATTTAATTACAGGCTTTAAGTTTAACTATAAATTAATTAAAGTCTGTGATTCAATCATTCAGACACTGTAATAATCAAGATGGGATTGCATTGCTTGCCATTTTTAAATTCTAAGAATTCATGTTTTTGGATAACAATAAATAAATAAATAAACAAAATAAAAACAGTGCATGAAATAATCTCATATATATTCTATATTATTAAAATTAATCAATATATATTGCTTTTATTTAGGAAAATAAATACTACATCCACTGAGATTTTACCCTACACACATCAGAGCCTTGATAAAATTCATTGACCATCTGTGCATGACTAATTTACTCCCTGGTTATTCCGACAGATCAGGCTGTTCCATGTGATTATTTTGGGGAGAGATAACATTATAAATTTTACATGTGCAGAATGTGTCTAGGAGGACATTGCAATCTTTTTGTACAAAAATTTGTAATGATATTTAAAATCTATATATCTATTAGCTATTTGATATTTTCTTTTACGCTCAAAGAATGAAAGTTAAAATGATGAGTAGATTAACCCTGCTTTACATAATGATAGACCTGTCCAGTTTTACAGTAACTGTTGTAAAATTTGAATTCTAAGATATCTGGGTCAGCAAAGAGAGCAAATTACTGAGAAGTTTTGAAGATATTGTTTTGTTTAAGATTTTAAAGTGTTTAAGTATTGGTATGATAACAATCAGAATCACCTGGGACTGTTGAAGGAGATATACAACAGAATCAGGTATTTATAAACCTTAAGTTACATTAATGCAGAAACAGGTTATATATCAAACTATTAACATTTGTAACAAGAGACCAAGGTTGTTTTTAAATTATTTTCAACTTCATGCATTTGTTTTTCTGATAATTCTTTTTAATCTATACATGTATAATCTGTAAAATATAAATTATTCAATGATTTCTTTTTAATGATTGTTTATATTGTTTAAATGGCATGTTAGTAGATCTTTTTCATTTCCTGCAAATTAAACAAATTAAATCAATTTTATTAAATAGGACTAAATGGTACAATCAGTAGTTTTGTACAGCTGAACAGGGTCAATCATAATCATTTGTTATTTTACATGTATGTGTTGTGTTTTTAAATGGAACAATCTAAAATTACATTATGCATAAATAATTTGCAGGCTGGGACATAAGTGTGAGAAATAGCGGCAGTGTTTAATAATGATGTGCAGTATTAATCCTGAAAAGGTATAATATTAAATCTCAATACTTTTCTATTCCACATCTTTTCTTGAAAAAATACATACTGGGTAATAAATATTGTCACAAATTTACTTAATTCTCATACAGAGAAATTCTTAAACATTTGTGCACATTGAAAAAAGATATACTGCATTGCTTTAGTATTTTTTGAAAATGCATAAGCATAGTTAATATTTAATAGTAAATACTGTTGAAACATTAGATTTGATGTTATTAAAAGATATGAAATATAACTGCATTTATGCAATAAAACATAAGTCATTACCACATCTGTATTAAATTTATTATGAATTTTATCTTTAAAGGTGAGCACAACCACAAGAAGTTCTAGGAAATACAGGCAGAGGACTGAAAATGGACATCAATAAAAGAAATAGTAATTTAAATAATCAGAAACACTTGAAACAAATTTAAGATTAAAAAATTTCTCATTGACAGATTAAGAGCAAAATAATTGCTAAAATTTATAAGACAACCAGAACCTGCAGCTAGAAAAAAAAACTGTTTGTGCTATAGTGAATGTAGGATGTTCTATTCTGTATTTGGACTAAAGGATATGTATTAAATTTCGTGAAAGAAATATGTGATCATGTAAAACTCATAAAAATTCTACCCCAAACATTCCTGTGCTGAATTCCGTCCCAGAATTTTACATTTTAAGAACATTCAGGGATGCTGGAATTATGCACGATTTTTTCAATGTCATTCCATCAAGGCTGGACTATTTACCATGGTAATTGGAAGAAAACATTAGTGTAGCAAATGAAAAATTTAACATCAGCTTCTTTTTACAATTTATGATTAAATAAGTTTATCATGGTAATAATAAATTAATGCCTTCTTTTTTTTGCAAGTTACACAGGATTCAGAGACTGTTCATATACGTAGCAGCTCCCTTTCCAAATAGGGTTTACAGTTTTTGCAAGCTTGCGATTAAGCTTGCGCAAGCTTATACATTAAGCTTGTAGTTATACATACACAAGCTTGCGACTTAGCCTGTGCAGGCTTGCGGATAAACCTGCACAAGCTTGCAAATAAGCTTGCGCAAGCTTACGATTAAGCTTGCGATTAAGCTTGCGATTAAGCTTGCGATTAAGCTTGCGATTAAGCTTGCGCAAGCTTAAATATTAACTAGTTTGCTGTCAGATTTTTTTTAAATAACTGATCGCAAGCTTTCCGCAAGGTTCCAATTACTAGCCAGTAGCAAGCTTGCAACATAAGCTTGCAGCAAGCTTGTGACAAGCTTGCAATGTTAGCTTGCGATTTTGGTTTGGGTATGACACATGCTATTAAGTGGTAATCGTCTGGTTTGTGTTTTTCACATAAAAATATCGAGATAAACAAATATTTCCGATATAGATAAAGAAGGAAGAAAATCGGAACTTTCAAAATTTCATCGAGATAACGAAATATCGAGAAAAGCGATGTCGAGATAACGATAGTTGACTGTATTTATATACATGTAACATACATGTACATGTATATAAAAATTATTATACATGTAACAGCAAACTGTTATGTGAGCATTTATAACTTAAGTGTATACCTATTAAACTTATTATGACAGTCAGACATCACTTAATATTTTTTGAAAATTGCAAAAACTGTGACTTTTTCAAGATTTAGTGACCCACCACCTCTCAAATGTTCATACTCCAGATTATTATTCTAAGGTCAAGGCTACATGTATACAAGATTATGTTCACAAAAATATGGGATTTTTCCCCAATGTGATCTGGCTAAATTTTCAAATATTTAATACGTGTTATTAACATACATGTATCCAGTGAAAAAAATGGTTAATTTTCACTCAAGTAAAGTTTCAGGGTATTTTTGCCCTATCACCTGAGTGCTTGATATAATCATAATGCCTCAAGGGCTAATAATTCAAAATTAACTCTTTCTAAATCATTGAAATATAAAAAAAATCCTAACAGCAGACAAAATTTGAACTGTTTTGACTTGTTTCTTAATTAAAAGAAATTTCAGGTTGCCAGTATATAATCATAATATTATATACATGTACACATAAACAAATCTTTAAAGTCATCAATAAGGTACAAAGTCCCCAAAATGTTCAGCTGCAGGGGCTTTTCCTAAATATACCTGAAATGGGCTTTATAGCTTACATGTAGTTGAGATTTTCTATCAAAGTATTTTTACAAATTAAAAAAAAAAAAACCCAAAACATTGCAAACATACATCATCATCATGTTATTACAAAACTTTTGATATTAACCTCTAACATGCCAAAAAGTCATCAATAACGAAATAAAACAACCTGAAAATTCAACTGATTTAAAAAATATGAACTGAGATGCCATTCTCAAAAAATGTTTGCACTACAAAGAAGTACACATTAACTGTGAAGATACATCGTATATCATTAAAGTTGCACAATAATTTGCAACGTTACACTCTGGAATTTTCTCCTAACATCTCATTAAATATGCAAATAATGGCGCACAAATTGAAGATGACTGTACAGGCAAAAGTGTGAGCAAACGAGTACAAACTGTCTCCTA